GCCAAATCATCAACAATCATATCCAGCTAACTGAGTTAGCGGCGTACGAAGAACGGGCCCCAGGTAAGAGAAAGAAATTCTACTTGCCTACCATTATGTTTACAAAAAATACCCTTCAATTTTATTAAGGAATAACAAACTGTATCGATAATTGTTTAATTACTTTTTAAGATTGTAGCAGCGCCACCTGCTGTCCACTAACGTGTAGGTGTTTCTGAATTTATGGATAGCATAAGTAAGAATAAACAAATAATATATATATCTGCACCCATCTTCTAGATTTGTTGTTTTTACTGTGTAGTAACGTAAACATTATTATAAATTTGTCGTGCAATTATGCATTTTAACAAATTCTTGCTATATTATAGAACCTTTTAAGTACACGCAGCTATATCAAGTTCGCACTTCGATGACGTAAAATTAAATGAAAATGCACATTCGCCATAAAGAAGTGACACTTACATCGGTCAAAAATATTTTGAGCTGTTCTGAGAAAAGTAAAGGCAGGAAAATAATTTCATGTGAATTTATATTATTATTTACTATTACTATTACTATATGAAACTAACCACAATCTAGTTTGACATTATTTGTTAAATATTGCATAGCAAAGGAACATAGCCGGGAATTATGTGGAAAGTGCGAGTGCCAATGCAACGGTTAGTATTTCTAGTGACTGATGGCGAGCAGGCGAGGCTCTCAGGTTAGTTATGCGATGGCCGCTTACTGTATTATGTTATTCTTTTTAGTACATTTAATTTTCTGGCGAAATTTGAAGACGTTTGCCGCATCGATATTGCACCGGAATACAAGCGACACCGTTTTAGACCAGATTAAGGGCCCATACTTCAAAACGGAGCTAGATTTTAACTAAGGATTGTCTGTTTTCCCCGTCCGATAAAGGCCTAGCTGTAGCGAGCTAGCGGCTGTCGAAGCGGGCAATCCTCCTCAAGACGCGCGCGCCGTTGTGTGAGTCTTTTGGCACACCGTGTAGGAATATTTCTTTTTAGTATTGGGAATTGGTCTAAATTCGTTTGCTAGAAGTCATTGGTATTTGCCCTGTATTCTACTGTCACATCGTTTTGAAGTTGAACTTTAGCTAGCTCGCGCTGTGAGCAGCTAGCAGCTTCAGTGTTTATGATGTTAGCTCGTTGTTGTCGTTGCTAGTCGATATGTCAGATAGTATGTATTGCACAATATCTGCAGTGCTTTTTGTTTATTACTCCGTAAAACACAGCGGGGAGCCTTGCTTTTATTTTCCACGCTTTATTGTGTGTGATAAATGTGACATTTTAAGTTGAAGATAGCATATTTATATAAGTCAGCATCTTAATAAAGAGGTGACAACAAATTACAGCCCACTAAATAGAAATCTGTTTGTGTGTGTTTTTATAAACCAGATGAAAACTTTTCTTGTGGAACTGTATATGTCACGCTGTTTTTTTTTTTTTTTTTTTTTTTTTTTTTTTTGATGATTACAATGCAAGGTTTTCCAGATGGACAGTCATATTGGTTGCTTGGTGAAATGAATGAGCCATAAGTGAAAAGCTTTTCTTACTGCAACTTCAACATGTGTCATTGAGCATCTGCACAACATCTTGCTCTCGTCTCTTTCTCTGCAGTGATAGCATGGATCCGGACAGTGTGGCGGACACTCAGCGAACTCTCAGTCTGCAATGGAAGAGCTATAAGCTAGTACAAGACCCTGCTATCCGACGGGTTGCTCAGAAAATTTACAGATATGATGGGGTTCACTTTAGTGTACCGGTATGGATGTACATATACAGTACACCTAACTGCCAAACGGAGCATACTTACACTTTTGTGTGTGCATACTTATGTAAAGTCTGTGTGTTCTGCTTGTTTTTAGGATTCAGGATTCCCACCTGTGGGGGACTTGCGTGATCCAAGACCCCGCAGAATCTGGTCTAGACACACAGAGCTGTCACTGCCAGTGCCCAAATTCAAGGTATGCCTCTTTTTTTATCATTTCAATTTATTATGCTGCTTTTCTGGTGAGCTTTTTGTATTTGTCTATTTTTGTATTGTGCATGCTAACCCATTTCTTCATTTTTAAATTTTTTTTTGCTCTTCATAGTTGGACGAGTATTATGTAGGTCCTATACCACTTAAGGAAGTGACTTTTGCGAGGTTGAATGATAACATCAAAGAGCCTTTCCTGGCAGAGATGTGCGCCAAGTTTGGTGAGGTTGAGGAAATGGAGATTCTGTTTCATCCCAAGACACGGAAGCACTTGGGCTTAGCCCGCGTCCTTTTCACCAGCACTAGAGGGGCCAAAGACACTGTCAAACACCTGCACAATACTTCTCTCATGGGAAACATTGTCCATGTCCAGCTAGATATCAAAGGTGTGTTTCTGTCTTTTAATGTTTTGATCATTAATATTCTGAGGTATATACTTTCTATATACACTACTGTTCAAAAGGTCAGGGTCAATGATTTTCAAAAAGTTTATTTTTTGGGGGGGGGGGGGGGG